ACAACAGTGTCATTTCAGCGGTCTTCCGTGTTTTTCATACAAGCCGCCCATGTAAATGGTAAAAAATCGTGAAAAATGAAAAAAAATAATTAATTTTTTTTTCTTCAATTCTCAAATACTACTCAATTTTCTATATCACCTGGTGAAATCAGAATGAAAAAAATCGCATTCCTTATCACCCAAATCACGATCTGGATTTTTTTCACTTTTGGCGTGCTCTATACCGAGTCTCCGAGAGTTTCATATAAACTTCCTATGTAACAGCTATTGAATAGTGACCGAATGCCAATCGTCTTTTGGGTGATAGGGAATGCGATTTTTTTCATTCTGATTTCACCAGATGGTACAGAAAATTGAATAGTATTTGTAAATCGAAGAAAAAAAAATTTGATTATTTTTTTCATTTTTCACGATTTTTTACCATCTACATGGGAAGGCTTATATGAAACTCTCGGAGACTCGGTATAATGCACAAATGAGTTAAAATAAATGAGATACTAGCCAGAATTGAAAATAAATTTGATACTTGAACGAATTGAAAATAAATGTGATACATACCACTTTTATTTTCAATATCTTTCAAGTATCAGATTTATTTTAAACGCGAGTTAGTATCTCATTTATTTTAATTCATCGTCTTGTATCAGTATTTTTTTAAATAATGTTTGGAGCTCATGATTATTCTTACCCATTCATATATCAATAATGTTTTGACGACTATTTCGTTTTATTTACATAAACAGTGAATATACATGTGTTTGACCTACGACTTTTGGTTTTTGGCTATGTATAAACGTTTGGAAGAGGAATTTAAACGAAATAAGTTGAAACATAGATAGAAAGGAATAACCTTGAACTTGTCTCGAGGTGACCTCATTTGAGATAATTATGTTTTGACCGTCTATTTAATCAAAATGGTATACAAAATCTATAATTTGCAAAACAATCAATTACGAGTACAATAAATTTTCTGGAGTTTTCTATAGTTGATAAAAACCAAACATTTTTTTAAACATACAAAATTGTCCTATTATAGGACTCCTATAGATTTGTCACATAAAAAATAATATATATGTTCTTCTTTGCTTCTTCAAAGGCATTCTTGTGCTTTCTATCCTTATTGGCTAAGTTCATTGATATTTTTTCCCTTAAACTCCTTGATTTTTCGTACGTGTAAAGCATCGTCGCTATTTTTCAGGCAGAGATGCATTTTTGCTGACAGACATTTCTGATCAAAGTTTCATATCTCTATCATTGATCAAATGTTGCTCAATAAAAGATAACTATTTATTTAAAGGTCTGTTGATTTTATTGAAGAAAAATTGAAAAGTTTACAAAAAAGTGAAAAAACTGGCTCTTCTTTCCATGATATCGGCCAAGTAAAATGGACAAATTAAATTATTCAGATGTACTGCGTTATATTATTGGGTGCGCCTCCACGTTCTCAATATATGGAAATTAAATGAAAATGGTGGATTGAATTTGGAAAAAAGTTTGAATAACATGGGGTAAATTGATTTTCAGGCTCCCATTTTTAATTTTATCCAAGGAAGGTATTTATCAACTCTCTGTTTGATCAAAAATGATATATTGATTACCGAAAATAGTCAAAAATTTATAAATTTATGAACTTACGGTAAAAACTCCTGGACGATCTTTACATGCCTTTGATCCAAATGACATAACACCCGCTACGAAATAATAGGCGTGTGTACTATCCATTTTATGCATATACATCAAAGGCGAGCCGCCATCCCCTTTGTCCAAAAAAATACAACCAAATTTTCATATCAATATAATTCGGTTTAGTGTTTAAAACCAAAGTTTCACTGAGTGAAACTCTGTTTAAAACAAAACAAAATTAATATTCATATATGAATTGTTTTCAGCCAATTCAAATAAAAAAATTTGCGATTATATACCTTTACAAACATTAGTTTGACCTCTATTATTATAAGCACAGATTTGTTTATCTGTTATAGTAGTTTGGGTTTCATACGCTGTTTTACATTTATCAATTGAAGTAACATCAAGTTCAGCTTTCAACTTGACAAAACTTCTACTTCCTGTGAGAATAATAAATTAAAAGAATTTGTTACAATTATGATGATATTCAACGAAAATTACGAAATCTAAGTAGTACACGGCAATGAAATGATGAAAACTATACAAACCATCCTGAAATGAAAATATAGAAAAAATGAGATCATAAACAATTTCATGAAATTATGCAAAAAATACTTCTTTTTCGCCCCATCCTGCCACTGCCATAGATTCTCCATTATAGTTTTTATTGACTAGATCTTCCAATGTGGGCAAACAAATGGGGATTATCCATCTCGAATCTTTGACCGATTGCTTTAAATATAGCAAAGCAATGTCGTTTTCATGCGAGTTTCTATCATAGTTCTGATGCATGAAACGTTCTTCCACGTGAATATCTTGAACTGGGTCCGCCGTTTGGCCGTCCTGCTCATCTAGGTCATATCTTGTATCCCATTCACCCAGTCGAACTATTGATCAGCAGAAAAAATGGAAAGTTATTATTTTAGTTGAAAAAATTCATGTCATTTATATTATATCGTACCTAATAACGAGGTACTCACACTCACACAGCTTGCAGCTAAATATTGGAAACAGAAATTTATTGCTATATTTTGTTCGATAAAAGTCAATGTGATTTATATACCTGTTAGAACAAATCTGTCATTGATTAGAGAACCAGCACAATGAAAATCACTAACTGCTCGGGCTACAGAAGAAACAAACAGATAAATTTTATTGAATTCAGTCTTGTTTGAATTCAAGTCAATTGCATTACGATTATATGTGTAACGTATTAAAGCCATCCATAAGTGATCAGTGATTTCAGCTTCTTCTGCTCCAATCAAAAAATCATTTAACATTTTTATTTCAACTCCACATTGGCCAGGTACAGGAATAACAGGAGTCGGAGGGGGAACATCATTATTTGTGTTTGGTGGGACTGGTGGTGGTTGCCATGTAGGACAGCAAAGCTATTTGCAATAATTTGTTAAAATTTAATCATACGGAATATAAAATGACGTTGTCATACTTACAATTTGATTTATATAATCATTGAAAGGATTATAATCGTAACAATGGTATGGTTCATAATATTTTGAATTTCCATACACGTCCCTAACCACTGAGGAAGTACACTGAAATTTTGGAATACAGTTTCCAGGGTAGCCATCATTAAATATACATCGTTGACCTGAATTTGTAAAAAAAAACGAGATTAATTTGATTTATTTGTATTATTTCATACCAATTTCATTGCATTCTACTTTGTCGTAATCTTCGACGAAATAATGACCTGACGACTTTTTGATAAATACACTGCCAATGTACTTGGATGTAATGCTTGATATGCCAATGCAGAAATGAGTGGAATTCAAAAAATATTATAAACCCCCAGGAATACGCAGAAAAATTAACCAATTTAATCAAAATTATATGATTTGAATTCGAGCCATATCGACTTTCGTCAAAAAATTCATGAAAATACACGTAGTTTGTTGTACTTGAGCCACTTCTTACAAGGTCGATCGAAAGGGCATCTAAAGAGCTACAAACTGACTGATTTTAATCAAAATATTAGGTCTTGAACTTAATTTACAGTGTACAAATCAAGTTGTTTTCAGATTTCCATACAAATTCTTAGGAAAAACTTCATTTCTAAGGAAAATATGTTTCCTGGACGAATTTTCCAAAAATAAAAATATTGTTCTTGCGGTTTGGGCTCAAGAATCCGACAAAATAGATTTCAAGTCGGTAGCTGATACCTTGCTTGAGTTATGCGTGACACAAACAAACCGAAAACGATTTTAAAGCTTGATTTACATCAAGCAATATTCACATAAATTTACATTTATGCAATATACAACTTTTTAATCTCACATTTTTGTCAAATTTTATTTTGTAAATGTTGAAAGTTGACATTCATAGGTCATTTTCGTACATGTACATTGCACATGATTCTGTGAAAATAAAAAAAGTTACCGAAAATATTTCTACTGCATTCTAAATTAGCATTGTTAATATAGCGCGGAGGAGTAGGGGTGGAAAATTTGGCCAAAAATTACATTCACCCGAATTCATACCTTCATCAACTTGAATTTTCATTCGTTGTCTGTTCTAATTGAGTAGAAAGATTTTCAGTAAATTTGTATTTTCACAGACATTTATTCATGCACAAAAAAGTTATCTTTTGTCCATCCAAACATTTTATCTAAATTAAATTTAAAAGATTTATCTAAATTAAATTGAAAGAAATTTTATCACGTCGAATTTAAAATCAATTTGAATTTGTTTTTTCAATCAGTTTATAATTTGAAATATCAGTTGTTTCCAAAAACTTTCTATACAAAATTTATATATTGTACATTTTGATGAGTTATTATCAGATTTAATTTGCAAACACTTTTTTTATTCACTTTTTTTACTTACTATTTACAAATCGAGCCGCCAAATATGCTAGACACATGCATATTTTAACGTATTGCTTCATCATTCCAATCTTTAACGTGAATTAATGGTGCTTCGTTTCAAAAACTGTGGTCTCCAATCAAAATTGTGCCCAACTTTTACGGAATCAATGCGAGCATACATACCCTAATACATACTGCTGTACATTTTAAAGTCTGTATACAATTTACATTTAATCAGTCTGTATTTTAAATGTTGGTTATACTTTTCCGCACACCTAGTGTAGGGAAGGTATTGTATTAGGCCAAAAAATTAAAGTCATCCCAAAACATGTTTTCTTTGCATATTTAATGTAGAAAACACGATTGGAGATGATTTTGGGGCATATTAATGTGCGTCGCTGTGTGTGATGTGTCCTGTGTCCTGTGGCGTGTTGCCAAAATTTGTTAACACGATAAATCCTCTTCCAAAAACTCAATTCAAATTCTGACTTTGCAGGATGATTTGGGACTACTAGGAGACGTCCTGATTAGTTTTTGAGCAATATCTGTTGACCGGTGTAATTTTTTTTGGTCCGAATGGAGTACCCACAATCCCACATCCATACATTTTTGATCATTTCTCAACCATTTTGGTGACACGATGGTTTCGTGCTCAGACATGAAATTCAAAATGTGACTTCACGGGATGATTGAGCACTACGAGGAATAAATCTGGTCAAATTTTCAACGAAATTGATTGATCGGTGTAAAACTTAGACTCTGAAGAGGCACTTATGAGAAAAATGCCTTAAAATGATATTCTTTCAATTTGAACGCTGAATGAATGTGTAGTGGGGGGAGAAACCCGAATCTGATGTTAGTTTTAAGATGCAATCAATTTTTCACACAATTTTCATACAAAAATCCACAAAAAGTTTCATTTTTGTATGAAAGCCTTTGTGGTACCGTAATGATCTGAAACTTTGAACAGGCTATTTTTTGGATTGAAATTTCTTTAAACTTGGTGTGATTATTTATTTTAATAAGAAAATAATATTCACAAGTTTTCACGGTAATTTAAGTTACTGCAACCATACAAAGACCATGATTTCAGTTTATTCCCAAAATTTCGGTTCCATGCGGAAAAGTCAGCTTGCGTACGTAAGCCTCTTTATTTAATCTTATTTGAAATTCGGATGAATGTGCTATTATCTGTAGCGCTTTTTTTTAATATGAAAAAGCAATTTGGCAAACAGTAAAATGAATTTTATTCATAATCACGATATCTTTCGGAAAAACCAACGTGTTATTAATCTGAACAGTTGAAGCGAACAGCATGTACACAGAAAAAAATATAAAATGAAAACTAGATGACATGTCGTATAAAATTCGGAACTATTTGAAAATCCGTCAAAATTTGTATTTGTCCATATAATTTTCATATAAAATATCTTTTTTGTGTATTCTCTTTTGTGCGCATTTTCTTCAAAACATAAACAAAGAAGAACTGTATAAAAGAGAATAATCAAAAACGATATTTTGTTTGAAAATTGGATCGACAAATACAATTTTAGACGGCATGTCATCTCGTTTTCATTTTATAATTTTCTGTCAGTGTTTGCGAAATTTGTGAATTCATTATTTATTCTCAAAATATGTGTTTATATGTATGGGTGAGCCGTATGCGAACGAAGTGTGTGGACAGCGGCTACGAATTGTATGAGAACCGAGCACGTACAGTGACGTACTCGCTATTTCTTTTATACGCAGTAGAATTCGGCTGAATCATAGCGGTTTACATATGCGTGAGCAGAAATAGCGAATATGAGAATGAAGAAACGGCAATACAGATGGCACACAATACGCTATCGCAACTCATTCATTCTCATATTCGTTCTTTCTACTCTCACATATACAAGCGGCTATGCTTCTGTCGGATTTCATGCAGCGAATATGAGAAATAGCGATCACTTCAATGTGTTCGCCTCTTTTACATATAATTCGTAGCCGCTGTCCCACACACTTCGTTCGCATACGGCTCACCTATACATTAGAGTGGTTCGATTTTGACATATTTTCAAGAATCAAAAATCGTACCCCTATAACCTCTGTAGGAAGGTCATAGAAACATGACTATAACAACGAATTCGAAAAAAAAAAAATGATTTTGGACATTCTTATTTTCGAAAATGTTGTGTGTGAGATACACTTAATTTGTATTGAAATTTGTTCAAACTTTCGGTATATTATTTTTTGCAGAAAAAACATTCTGTGCAAAGTTTCATGTCATTACAACATCAAACAGGCAATAACATCAAACTTCAATACAAAATTCCAAATTTTTTGTGATTTTTTCATGAAAAAAGTGTCAAAAATTATTTGTATTGCAAAATTAACGCCAGATTCAGCTTTCTCGTGCCAAAAAACCCCAGGTGAACCATTTTTTATTGAATTTTTAAAGTGCTCAAAATTCATCAAAATTTGATTTTTTTTTTTCAAAAACCACCTGGAGCCGCGCATCACCAAAAATTATTTTTTTTCGAATTCTTTGTTATAGTCATGTTTCTATGACCTTCCTACAGAGGTTATAGGGGTACGATTTTTGATTCTTGAAAATATGTCAAAATCGAACCACTCTACTATACATACAAACATATTTGATGAATTTATTTATAAAATTTTATTGGAAATATATGTAGATTCAGACATTTCGCAAACTCTGTTTTCTGTGTGTATCATTTATCTTTGTTCTTGTTGGAAAAATCCCGCGTATCACTTCTGAATATTTCGTCGAATTGTTTCAAAATGATAGCCTATTGGCTTTTATCTATTCCTGCTCACAATTTAATTCACGATATAATATATTTTATACATGATATTTCGTTTGTGGCAGTAAATAAGACTTATTATATTCTAAAGTGCAACACACACAGTATATAGCTGCACATAATCGAATAAAGTCTGTACAAAAGGAAATAAGCGAATTTTTTTGCTTTTTTTACAGCTATAGCTAATCTAGATTCATATCAAAGAAATAAAAACATTGAACCATTTTGTTTTTTGAAAAAGAACAAAATATGAATAAATATATATTTCTTACATACTTAAAACTAGTGACATTTGAATTTTGAGATTTTATTATCGATTTATATGAAATTCATTTTAATGTTACAATTAAGAATCATCACAATGGTAAGTGTGCGGGGCGATTAGCTACATTGCGTCAAAATGAAGTGGTTGATTCTCTTGGAGTTTCTCCAATCGGTCTTGTCGCCGTTCCTTGATATGCAATACTAAAATAATCAGTGTAATTACGGCACACGTTGCTCCTAACGAGATGACACTCATCCAAATCAATTTGCTCGGTGTGATGAATAGCTGTGCTTTCCATCGACTTGGTTTGGTAATTGGTAGCGGTACAACGACCATTTGTGAATTTGGTATGATAAGTGTCCAAGTTCGATGACGGCCCGACAAACCGACCGACAGAGAATCAACAAAATTGGCTGTTCGCCCCAACCCCAACACTGTATAAGGCAACTGAAGTGCAAAGTATCCCGATTGAGGTATTTGAGCTGATGTGCTCGCTTGTAAGGCACCATCCGGTCGTGTTGTACTGTATGCAATTCGCGGACCTAATTTCGAACGAATGATATCAGTTCATTGGATATTCAAGTTTTGCTTATGTTTGTTTAAAGATAAAATTGGAATTTAGATTACCAGGCAAGTTTGAACCATATGTTCGTCTGTTGCGGCCCAATGGTGTATGTTTTGTGGGTGTATTTTGATTGGTAAGACCAGTGAGTACCATTACTTTTACAAAATTCGCATCATAATCGAGTGTGTTACGGAATGCAACCGGGTGAGAGGTTCCATTTGCTTGTTGTTTTACAAATATCACATCGAGAATACCATCCTTAGGAAAGAGAAATAAAATTTTATTGAAAAAGAACGAAAAATGTCCAAAGGTCTGAGCACGGTAGCCTACCTGATAGAAATCATAGAATGCCCCAACAACCGTTCCATTGGAATACGGTGAAAATGCCGTCCATTTAATGGCAAATGATCGTGTGAGTGGCTTATCATCACAATGGATGCACTTAATGTTCTCCATTAAAAATGTTTGAATTTGTTTCCCGTCTGCCATGTTTTGCAGCGTAACCAACATATCTGGATAGCCGTCCAAATTGAAATCACCACCGCGCAATGTAATCGTATCTTGATAAATACTCTTTTGTGTTGGATCTGGTGTGATAAATTGCCACACTTGATTTTTGTCATCTTTAAAATCGATTTCCAAATTGAAATAGTCGCCATTGACATAGGCAAGAATGGCCGAATTATGGCATGATTTATCAAAACAAATTGGCAGCACTTGTGCAATGTTCCCATTAAGTTCAATGTCCAAGAAAATCGATTGTCCATAAACGGTGTTACGAATGCCAGACGGTCGTCGTTCTTCAGTATAGGTAAAACCTTCATTGCCCGTGCCATGCCAAATTTCAAAACCATTTTCGGTTGCCAAAAATAGATCAGCCCGAAAGTCATTGTTCAGATCTAAATATGCATGAGAATGTGGTACCAAAAGTTTTGGTAGATTTTTTCCATCGGGTGCGATCATTGGAATTTCTTCCGGTGATTGACGTGTTTTATTGAACAACCAAAATACACGATGTCCATTTTCATTCAATCCAAATAAATCGATAATCATGTCATTGTTATAATCCAAGGCCATTGGTTCGCCAATCATTTGAAATAATGGTCCCGCACTTTCATCGGTGCAATTTAATACATCGGAACCGCCCCAATTCATGTACACATCAAGCACATTTGGATCGACGGTTGTGTTTGGTTTTTGTTTTGGTCTTGATGTTATCAATAGATCCATATAGGCATCACCGTCAAAATCACCAGGCACAATGCTTGTTATGCTCAAATCTTTGAATGTACATGTGGTCGACGTTGAACGACGCAACAGTGGCTCTTGATCGGAGGCTAGCAATATTTCAAGCACACGACCATCCGTTGAACGAACAAATACATCGGTCAATTCATCCGAATTGAAATCACCAAATGCTGATATAATTGTGTCACTTATCGTACCGAATGCCTGTGACGTTATATCACTCGCACACACTTGACGAATCGTCAACACCAACAACAGCGAAATGATTTGCTTCACATTTGAATTCATTGTTTTTTTTTGTTTTTTGTTTTTTCGATTGTTATTTTTTCTTTGATGTTTTTTTTTTAACTTTTTTTGACGTTTGTTCCAATTTCTTTGGCTTTGTCTCAGTGCAAACACGACAAATTACCACACGACTAAAACACTGCCATTCGATTTTATCAATGGTATTCCGAAAAATCGATTAAAACAAATTACATTTTGCACGAAAATGTTCAATGTTTTTAATTTCTTGCTTTGTCCATGAACAATTTTCTTCAATTCAAGTCAGTGACAGCTCGACTGTTTTGGTTTTGACGTCAAAGCATTAATGATTCTGCTCACTGTCAGAGCAGTGTGCTCATTTTGCTCATTGAAAAAAAACTCACCAATACAAACTTTCCAATAGTTATGCATCATTCGAGCAATAGATGGCGCTGATGGTAATTGCATAAAGTACGCTAGATTGAACCATCAATAGGCCTGATTGGAATCTTTACTAAACTTTTTCCGTCTATTCACATTCGAAAGCTGCTACGTGGCCGTGCTAAAGATCTACTTATTCCGTCTCATAAACTTAATGAGCTCAAATTGTGTGTATGCGATTCTTTTTTTCTCTCTCGCGTACCATACATTTTCATTCATTCATTAAATTGAAATGCGCATGAATTTCGTTTTATTTTCATCTCTTTCCATTTTATTTATATAAATTTTTGAAATTGTTTTAATGCATTTGATGATGACGACTTTGAAAAGACCCATTTATTCGCTCGTAAGAAGAAAATCCGTGCAAGAACAACAACTCCAGTAGATTATTGTAGATCATTTTTTGCCGCCTGAAAATATACAAGATTTTTAGCGAAACGTTAGTTATAAATCAAATTCTGTGAAGGACCCAAAGTAGAAACCTTTCTTTCCGCCTCCGCCACCGCCGCTTTTGTTGCCTCCACCTCCACCGCCTTTGTTTTGATTTCCTTTATTGCCACCTTGATTACCACCTTTTCCGCTTTTCTGTAAACACGCATACCGAACATTTTTCTTAGTCGAGGTCAAACTGAGTTTCGATTTTTGGCAATTTATTGGCGAAATTCGTTGCGGTTTTCAGGGGAACAATTGAAGTGATTTCATTCCATTTACTTTTCAAATAATTACCTCGTTCAAGACCATTGACTTTAACCAAAATACGATTTTTACGAGATTAAATAATGCTTCTGCCGAAATCAAATATCGAACTTTTCACCGAAGATTTGTTCGTAGTTTTGAGTGTGCAATTCATCTCGATTTTAGTGAGATGTTTCTTTAGTTTCATTATTTCTTCCAATTTTTTTTGGTATTTTTCAAGTTAAATTTATCTTTATTTTTTCGTTTCGATTTTCACTTTTTATTCGCTTCGAATAGAAAGAAACCTTCGATAGAATTGTTCCTCTGAATGCATTCGATTCTTTGCCAAAGAAACTGCTCGAAAAGACTCAAATTTCGTTATAAACCACAAAAATCAAAACTTATAAGCGTTGAGCTCAAATTACCATGATTATAAATTAACATGAAATTTATTGATATTGACATTAGCCTATCAATTTCACGTCGATATGAAATTAATTAATAGTTTATGTACTAAAGAACAAACCTCGGGTGGAGCGTGATTTGGGTTGCCACCGGTTGGATTTGATCCCTTTCCTTTGCCCATTTTCCGTTAAGTTAGTCGTATTTGTTCAATGAATTAGCTCTCGGCACACTGAGTCGCATCAACCTGTTGCTGTGTCTTCGACAACGTTATAAATCGTACTGCGACACAAAATCAAAGCAAAACGATTAGCGTCTTCAAAATCAAATGCATTAGCACTTATATAAAGCAAAAAATCAAACATAAACGACGACCATTTGTTCAATTATTCAAGTCCAATGTCGAGATTTTACTGTGAGCAGCCATACATTACGGATTGCGGATAGATACGTTCGATTCAAGTGAGTGGACGAATGCATCCGTCTTTGCGACTATAACACGCTGCTATTCGGTGCTCACATGTGAAATTGTAAATTATAAATGCTTGTTTTTAAACACTTGGCAAAACAAAATAAACAAATTCGTATCAGTCGAGTTTCTAAATTTAATTTATTTCCGTTTGTTCTCTCTGTTCAATGATCTTTTCGAGCGTAAATTTTTGCGACGAAGAAAAAAAAAACATTGCTGGCATTATATTCGGTTGCTCTGTCTCACTCTCTCATGGTTGCTCTTCGTCTCGTTCGTTTTCGGATTCGGGCGCAATATGAGCGAAAAAAGGAATCATTGAGCAAATGAAAACAAAATAATACATTGAACACACACACATGTATATTCAGAAAGTGAATATGTGCCAGTCGATGAAATTTATTTGCCAAACTTTTCGCTCTCGATGCATTCTACCGAAAGATGCTCTCGACTTTTTTTTATAGAGACCAGAAAAATTGATACGAACACCGGCCCATTTAGGGCCGATCTAGGGCCGGTTTATGCCATTTTTTGGACGGAGGGAACATAAAAATAATTCATTTCCGTTTGATGACGTGAGAACCATTTTTGAACAAGAGCCTCAAACCATATTGCCTAAAGTGAATTTGTGATTTGTTCTTTAATTCGGGGCTGTTCATCACAACGTCTCCAAAAAAGTCCTTTCATTTCGTAATGTTTTACGATTTCTTCAGAATCGGACCCGAACATTCGTCAAGGATTTTCTGTTGCAACCCTGCCATTTTGTTTTTCATATACGCACATGAATTTAACTGCACATATATATATATTGAAACTCGCAAACATATCCCAGTAAATCGAATATAGTTTTCCGATGGTGGGAAAAACAATTTATGACGGCATGATGGCGCAACTGAATCGCAGATTCACTCAAGTTATGTGTGCGAGTCAAATGAGTAAAACTGTGCTAAATTAATAACATTGTTTACTTTTGCTTCGGTATTTTGCTTGCAGCACTATACACTTTATACATATAACAGAGTTAAACTTTACTTTCATCCAATGTTCCACTGTGATTCGATGAACATTTTTTTCATCCTTTCTGCCCTTTCACATTCTCTTTCCATCTACCTACCTCCCTTACCTACCTAACTCATCCTACTCTGTCTGCCTTTATCTCACTCCATCCTTTCTTTCCCTCTCTCTCCCTTTCTATTTATTTAAAATATTACTGAATTACAAAATATTTATCTTATTTTCGGTGGTACTTGTTGAAATGTTCAAAAAAAATTCGGTGACAGAAATTCGAATTTACAAACTAAATTGTTAAGTGACATTGCATATTCTATTCGTGATTTTGAGCAAGTAATTTCCTTATTACAGTAAAAGTTCGCGATACTTGAATCTCAAGCCTCGCAAAAATTTCGGCTTTTACAGTGTCAGTGAGTTCGAAAGACTGTATGTTTCATTTGGGCTTCATGCGGTCAGGAATTGTGCGTAGGCGATAAAACAATAAAACTGTCTTCCACAAAATTATGGCACTGATCAAGCTGCAAAACAAATATAGAAAGTTTTTAGTTAGCAACTGCAGTAAAATTGTGAAAAATAATCATTCTTTTTGAACTCACTTATAGTGTCTTACTGCGTCTATATTTTCTTCTACAAAGTATGACGTCTTTTCAAGAAATAAGCGCTCGTTTAAATGGAATTTTTTCAAAGATATTTTTTGCTCTTTTCACCGAATGAACATTTCAATGCTGATTTTTCTTCCCGTTTTTTCGAGTTTTTCATAGGAATTTCTAAATATGGTTTTACTGTACTCATTAGAAAAAAATAAAACTTCAAGTCAACAAATTCTTGTAATTTTCCATGTAAATTCATTTGCAACGTGTCAAAGTTTATGCAGAACATAAATTTTACACTAAATTATTTACGTTTTCATGAAATTTAAAAAAATTCGAATTGAAATGAGGTCAACGTTTGTAAGATTTGCTTCAAAAATGTCCGGATTTGTAGAATAAAGTCAAACTAAATCAAGTGAATGTGCACGAAACTCAGTTTTCACAAAGTTTTATCAAATTCAATTGAAATCATTTTCAATGAAACCTGCTCAAATAGAAATTGATTGAGACAAATTATTGTAGCCGATATGAAAGTTTGTCAATTCAAAGAGTAAGAATTTTCCGTAGAATGGGAAAGAGAAAGAACGTGTATACCGTCAGTCACTTTTCAATTGAGTTTGAATTTCACAAACAAAAATACATTGCATCTTATTGAATGTAGCAAATTTGTACTTGACTTTTTTCTCTATTTGATTTCATCAATTTCCGAAAAGAGACTCCAGTCGGGATTTTTTTTTAATTTTTCAAATGGAAATAATCAATTTGCCTTCAATGACGTTTCAAACTGACTACTTTCAGAGCATTGCTCAAAATTGGCGACGAATGGCGCATATATTGATGAGACCGGCTGGAAATAAGAAACCCAACTTCCGATGAACAAAAACCAAATCAGTACCAAAAGCCATCGATTTCATCCGACACAAACACACACATATCACATTTTTCTCAGTCGATGAACTTTGATGTGTTTTGAATAAATTTGTAAATTAGCATTTTTTTCATTATTTACTTGTGATTTGCATTGAATTTTTGTCCCCGGTGTGTTGATGTAAGATGAATGCAAATCAACTATTGACTTGTATGTTTCAAATTGAGTTGCACACACAGAGTCAGCAAAAGTCGAGAAAACGTAACTTCTATAGTTTTCTTTTCGAATCGATGTAAATGCAGAGCAGCGCATCATTTCACCGAAATAAAGAAAATGAATGACGAAAAAAGAATGTGCAGTATATAAATCGACGGATTGAAAAAAAAGGAAAACGAAATAGTAACATAGCATGTATCGAATCAAAGTAAATTTGCAACTTATTCGCTTGAATAAACACAGAAGGAGTGAGTGAAAGAAAGAGAATGAAAATAGAAAGAGCGAATTATGTGAAGAGAGAAAGTGCAATTCCCTTGAATATTGTGCAGCACAATTTCAATTTTTATGCAAAGCCATGGAGCTTTTAACCGAAAAGACAAGAAATGAAAAGACGGATAAGGAGAGTAATGGGTCACAAAAGGGAAAAAGATAGTGCGAAAAAGGGTGTGGGACCGAGAGAGACAGAGAGAGGTAGAAAAGGATGCTGATAAACAGTTGAAAAAGTTCAATGGGAAACGTGCTCGAATCAAATGCATTTCGGGTTTCGGTCATAGCTTTTGGATGTAGTGATACTGTTGGCGGACATCCTCTGATCTTTTCGATGTTCCCATAAACATAGAAAATTTGTCTATATATCAAAGTGAATGAGTATATGTTGCATCTCATGTGACGGAATTGTCTCTTTTTGCTCCAAATTTTTTTAGCTCACCTTTTGACTGCATTTGTCGGTCCATTCGAAGCCCCTCGACTCTAGAGGAATATATGTATTCGTGTGTGTGTATGTGTGTCAGTTGAGAGAGCATTATGCAAATTCTATAGTATATCGACTCCATTCTTTTGTACTCTATCAGCCTTTGTTACATTTTTCATCGTAAAATGTTCGATTGAAGCTCTGGCAACAGAGAAACAGCTCTTAAGCGATCAGCTCGAATCGATGACTTTGTATCAATTGACAGAATGCAACCCGAAAATCGGAAGACATTGGAACGAGAATATTTTTGCGAAAATGCAATATTTCCGTTGGTCGGATGAATGCATTGTGCGATGAAACGAATACTCGTTCACATCGATGACTACAAATGCGCATCGTTAGTCAAATAAACAAGTAGCAAGTGCTATCGAAAGTCAAGTGCGACACACACCCACACACAACGACACGCTTTTGATAGGGAAGCTCCTCTGTGTCTCAAGTTTTTCACAATGTGACAACAAAATTGCTTCAATTGCCAATTGATGATAATTTGTCGAAAACAAGCTATTTCAAAGAACAGAAAATCTGTTTTCGGACATTTTCCTCAACGCTTTAAATTGACATTCGAGTTGCTGATTTTCCATTGTTTTTTTTTTTCTTCTTTCATTTTCAATATCCAGAGTAAAACAACTCAGTTATCCGGTGAGCTTTGTTTCGAATAAATTTGCTGTAGCATTCGTGAATGTTTGTTAAATTGAGTGAACCGAATCCTCCGTTGTACGTTATCATGGCGCACTCACCTTGCAGCACAACAACAACGCCATATGTTGAAGACAGAATGAGGAGGATACATAAGGAGAGAATGGAATAAAAATGTACGATTCTCATTCATTGTGATATATATTCAGGTGCCGTGATCTGGAACAAAGAGAATCGGGCTATGGTGGTAAGGCTTTTGTGACGCACTCAACTGCGATATTACGAACGATGGGTGCACATAACAAGATACAAAAAGCAACATAAATGCAAATACTTCGGTGTGTTCGGTTATTATTATATCGAATCGAAGAAATACAAAAAAAACGAGAGACACAATAACATTCTTCGCACACAATGCGCGCACTGAATCTCGATTTATTGAATGACACACCAAATGAGCATTTCAAATTTGTTTTGTTCCACAGAATGCACAAAACCATCGCAAATTCAATGATGCTCAATGTAAAACAATGTACATCAAATCATTGGAGCTGTAGTATATTTTTACTCAATCTGTGTTTTTTTTGTTTATAATTCTGTTGACGACAGTGACTTCTATCTCAAACTGGCTATCACATGAATATCCGAATCTTGAACGTACATTTTGAATTGGGGCCGTTTGAACCACGTCAAATTGAGGAATTGTGTGAATTTTTCCTACTAATGTTATTTTCAACAACTCCGGGCTTTGTACAGTGTCTTCTTGGTCGACCAAAAACGGCGACACCAACTTCCAACTTCACCTTAATCGAAATAACATTTCGTATTAAATTCTAATTCAATTCGGGCACTAAT